CCTTGTCGTTCCGCTCTTCACCCAAACGTCTGGCTCGTCTTGTCGTCTGCAGCAGCGCCCAGAGGTAGATCTAGCTTGCTTCAGGTTACAGGGGATTTGAAAGGTTCAGCGGGAACTTGCCAAAGAATTAATGTCCCCACAAAATGTCGGCATCCTGTCATCCCAAAAAGGTATCGTGTCTCCGGTTGAGGTTTTTCACTTATCTCGCCGGAACCTGATACCGTCAACTGACAGTTGGCGTAGAGACGGTACCAAATAATACGTCACTCACGGGTACCGAAGACGACGTATCTCATCGCTACCTCAGAAGTACTACATCCTATCTGTTCAGTACCTTATTCTGAGAAATTTGACGTCAAAGATTTTGAGCTTCACATCATTTAAAGCCTTTTCGAATGCAATTCTTTGAATATCTTGATAAAGACTCCGAATTATCTCACGAATTTGATATAGTAGGTAGAACATTAATTTGGTTACTGACCTCATGGTTTTTGTAACTCAAAACGGCCAAAAATGTCAGATAGAACTTTGTAATTCTGCGAGGTAGCGGATGGCGGTTGAGGTAAAGTTTAACGCTTTATTAGATAAAATCTGAAACCCCGGGTGTTAAAAGGGGACCTACTAATTATTTGGTGATAAACACCTACACAATGAGGTTTAGTAGCCTTGATAGTCAAGGTCGAAAAAACCGATCTTCTCATAAATGAAGTAAATTGAGTCGTTTTGGGTGTCAGCTTATCCCTATCAAATGACGATTTTGTGTTTAGTAGACAAAATAGAATAAGGATATATTATTCTGATAATCTCGTGATAAATGAGAATCAACAGAAGAAATGAGAGCAATAAAACAGGCAAGTGTGGCGTCAACTGTTCTCCTCTTTATGCACCTGACAGTGTAGGGAGAGAGTCAGTAAGTAAGTAAATATAACATGAAGAACAATGAGTGCGTTATCAACAGAATTACTACATTGCATTGGACAGAAGGGCGAGAGCCCAGGTGTTCCTGGTTCGATAACAACAACAACAACAACAACAACAACAACATCAACAGAATTAACGAGAGCAATAAAACATAATAATGAAAAATGAGTATGTTAATGTTTGTAGTTTGTTCTTGTTGATGAGGCCGTTTACATCATCGTGATCATCGTGATCATCTCCCTTGTTATAATAGGAGTTGAGGTCATAACGGTGTAAAAACTATGCAGCACCATTTAAAAAAACTGTTTCTATGAGAATAAGATTAGACTTCCTCCATTCCCAGAAGGCTTGAGATAAATTGGATTGTTCGTTTCAGAAAAAGTTTGAACTATAATTTCAGTTCCTTTTCCAGCAACTAGAAAGCCATAATAAAGAACTGCTTAGGGTTAAGGCAGTTATTCAACAAAAATAATATGTGGCAGTTTTATTTCAGTTTTAGTTTTACTTAGAGTTTTACAGCATTTACAACATAATAAGGTCATGTAAATGCCGAAGATTAGAGGTGTTACAAGGGAATAACGAACACAAAAAAAGAAGGAGAAGAGATAAGGAAGATAGATGTTTGATAGGAAAGAAGGAGCAAACCACGCCAGAGCACCCACCTACCATCCGCAGTTTTATTTCACGATGTTGATTAGTAGCAGTAGAGCAGCTGGAACTTACAACCTGATATTAGATGGAAAGAGAGGAAGAGCCAAACCCACGAAACGATGGATAGAGATGAACGTATTGCTATATCTCGAATCATTGACAACATTACACCAACACTTTGTATTGCCTGATTCGGAGGCAGTGTGGTAAGTGAAGCCAACAAGAGTATTGGTAGCGATTGTTGCTGATGGATAGTTACTCTGCATAGGAATCGAACTCAGGTCTTCTGCGCTAGACGGCAAAGCTCCTCCTTACCGCTGCACCAAAAGACAAACCGCTACGCCACCCCCGCCCACAACGGTATTCGAACAACGCGAATAATTGATAGTGTCTTCTAGCTTCGAAGCGTCAATGAAAAAGTTTGGTTGTTTTTTGTTTGTTGTTGAGGCAAGAGAGGTGAGCAGAGCAAGCCTGATTCCCCTTTTAGACTTCTCTGTTGACATCCTCAACTTGGCGCTCATATGACCTTATGCAGCTGCGAGCGATGTAAAACCCTTACAAAAACTAAAACAAAGTTTTGCCTCCCCAAAATGGTACGGCATAGCACAGCACAGTACCACATTTGCGCTCATATGATCTTATATACAGTTGCGAGCACAGTAAAGTCTTACTAAAACTCAAAACAAAATTTCGTCTCCCCCAAAAATGACACAGGACAGTACAGCACAGCACCACTGCCTACATACATGCCCAGCATTTGGCTAAGCTTCTCCCTTAGCGACTTCCCTGCACGGCCAGTGGGGGGGATTGGCTTGTCAGGACGTGGTTTACAGCAGGACAAATCCGCTGACAGCCAAGGACTAGCCCGTAATACTCCAGCGGGCCTGGGATACTGCGGCGAGTCGGGAAGAAAGGGTCGTGGGCCTGGGTAAATCACTGCTGGATGGAACGCCTCGGCCTAAACCAAGTCGCTTCTGGCAGAACCAAACCAAAATGTCCCTTCATAAAAACGACACGTGAGTGTACATATCAGACACCTCACCCCCTCCATCCCCCAGCACCCCCTCTCCCTCTCCCCTCAAAGCTTCCTCCTCCCGTCCCCCCCTCTATCTTCTTTCAGTTTTAGTTTTAGATTTAGTTTTAGTAATCCTTTTTTTTTTACTGCACTTGCAACACAATACGATCAAATAAGTGACGAAGATTAGAGATGTTACAAGAGAGTAACAAACACAGAAAAGGAGGAGAGATCAAGACGATAGGTGTTTGACAGGAAAGAAGAAGGAGCAAACCACACCAGAGCACCCTCCAACCACTCAGCCTCCCTCCCCTATCTTTTTCCCCTGTTCTTGTCCCTCTACCCTCCTAGATACTTCCCCCCAACTTCATGAGCCTATCCCCCCAACCCTTTATCTTTCATATACATCTCATCTTTTCCCACTAGTGGGTGATTTGAGAGTGTTCTGGTGTGGCTTGCTCCTTCTGTCCTGTCAAGTCCATATACATGACCTTCTGCAGTTGCGAGCACCGTAAAAATCTTTCCAAAACTAACAATAAA